AAATTTCAACTTTACATGTATGCATACCGGGAAAGGCAACAATAAGGAAGACAGTAAGTATGAGGGAATTTAGACTTTCAGAGAAGAACCAAGTATAAACAGATGGCAGTCCCTAGATTCTGTTTTCCTCTGTCTTACATCAATTTGGCTCCTTCATATGATACAGAAACTCTGAATTTTATTTTAACAACATGCTTGGATTTAGAGAAGGAGAGCCAAATCCAACTCCAAAGCCAGCATTGGTTTAAGTGAATTGGGACCAAAAGAGTATTAAGGAAGTAAAAAGAAATAGGTATTATAAGGACAAAGTTAAGAGAATTAGACATTAATACCAAACATTAGATTCTTCTTTGCTTGATGGTCCTTTGGGTAGCCTTCCTCTCTTCTTTAGGTATCCACACGTTCAGTATCTTTTCGCTGTTTGTTTTCCTGTGAAGACAAAAACAAAACACCTCTCTTTCCTTTTGTGAGGTCTCCTTACACCTCATAGACTATGACTTTGTGGATGAGCTGTCATCTTTCCTGCTCCCAAGGTTTCTCCTGTTCAGATCTAATCTTGATCAGTTTTGAGGGAACCCAAAGCTTTTCTTTGCCTGTGGAAACAAAGGTGAAACTCCTTGCACAATGTAACACATATCCTGGTTTCCAAACTAAGGTGGGAACATCCTTGAAATACACTGGCTGATTTAGTTCAGAAGTTTTTTTCTGTAGTTCAGTGTCTTACTGAAGCTGTTTGTCTTTTCTCATTAGCATTAAGAAAGTTTAATGTTAATAAAGCATTGTGTAACATGTGTTTGGGGGTCTTTGTTCCCCTTGGCTGTTTATGGAGCATTTCTTTTAAAGTGCCGTTAGATCTCTCAACCACTGCTTGTCCTGTGGGATTGTATGGTATGCCAGTTATGTGTTTTATGTTATAATATTTGAAAAGCTGTTCCAGTTTGCTGGAGACATATGCTGGAGCATTGTCAGTTTTTATTTGTGCAGGTATACCCATAATGTCCATCACCTCTAAGAGGTGTGTGATAACAGAATTAGCCTTTTTAGAGCTAAGAGCAGTGGCCCATTGGAACCCTGAGAACGCGTCTGTAGTATGGTGCACATATTTTAAACTTCCAAATTCTGGAAAGTGAAACACATTCATTTTCCAAATTTCATTTCTGCAAATACCTTTGGGATTACTGCCTTCTGGTAATGGAGTGTGATTATAGAATGAACAGGTGGGGCAGTTTATTACTATTTCTTTGGCTTGTGGCTAAGTGATAGAAAAATCCTCCTTTAAGCCTTTGCCATTAACATTGGTGTTTTTATAAAATTCTAAAGCTTCTAGCACACTTCCTATTAATAAGCGATCAATCTCATCATTACCTTGTGCTGGAGGACCTGGCAGACCTTTATGGGATCTGATGTGTGTTGTACATATAGGATGAGTTCTATTTCTGATAGTTTCCTGGAATTGTATAAACAATGAAGTTAATTCCCTATCATCAGGAATAAATTCAATGGTCTTAATGTGTAAGATGGCTCTCTCTGCATATTGAGAGTCAGTAACTGTATTGAGAGGCTCTGTAAAATATGTAAGTAACATGAAAATGGTGTATAACTCTGCCTTTTTTACAGAGTTGTAAGGGCTTTGAACTATTTTACTTATATTTCCTGATTTATAATTTGCCTTTTCCTGACTTGTTTGCATCAGCGTAGAATGTAAGAACTTCAGAGATTGGCATTTTACTTAGATGTCCTATTCTACTACAGTTAATATATCTGGTATTTTGATGTCTTTTTAAACTTCTGGAGATCGCTTCTCCTACCCCAAGTTTCTATCTCTTCATGGTTAAGGCATTTGGCATCTTGGTGCCTCTTCAAACCTTTAGAAATTGTCTCTCCTACCCAAACTTCTGTATCTTAATCTTTACACTCAATATTAGCTGTATACAAGACCCATTCACCAATGGAGCTGATCTGATTTTTAATGGCCAAAGTACCTGTTTGCATCGTTGATTTGCAGTCTCATAAGCTTGAGATTCTGTAAGGAGTCACCTAGAATCTGAATCAGTTACCTGTAATTCTATTGCTCTGGACAATCTTTGTAAGAATTCAGTGAACTTTACTTTCTGTCCTTGTATCATCTTGGTATGAGGTTCTATTTTCTCTCCTGGTTCATGAACTTTATTCAAAACATTCAGAACTGCGGTACGGCACAAAGACAGGATGTGTTTGTCATATTCTGCGTGAGCCGGTAGGTCAGCATAAGTGCCTTCACCAAGAATTTTAACTTGGGGAGCTTCATAACCTTTCTTTAGGCCTTGAAACTCGATGGCCTTTGCTTCCCCCTCCATAAAGCTCTCCACTGTATTTGAGACGAATTTTCTAGTACAGCAGAGATTGACTCTGCAACGATAAACAGCACACTTGTTGAGGGTATAGGTAACTGTTTATTGTAGAAATTACTCACAAGAGAAAACAGGCAACCCAGATGAGTCAAGTAGTTTTCTGCCACCGAACCGGAAGCTGAAAAGAGGGCAAGAGGCCCTGTTGCTTGGTCTTTTATTCCTTCCTCAGGACATGCCCCTAGCCACGCCCAAAAGTGGGCCTGTATAGTGTCGTAGTTCACTGCCCTGTCTCTAGTCATGCCCAAAGTGGGTGTGGTTAGCCGCACGGTTCTGCCCTTTCGTTACCACATCTGTATGTGTCTTTAGAGGGCCACGCGGCTAATGGCGGAGTCCTAAGTTTCCCCCTACAATTCCCCCTTTAGTCTAAAAAAGATATTTAAACTTAAAACAAAACTAACTTGTGTCAATGAGCAAAATGTCTCAAACATCTATCCCATCTAAACCTCAATTTATCTGAAAGTAACACCCAAGTCTGAACACCTCCTTCCAATCCCAACTCTAAAATAATTGAACATGAACACTAACTAATGAAAACTATCCTATAATATCAATAGTAGAGAGAGGGGGCGTGGAATTCTCAAAACTACTTCCTGCCGAGATGGGGCGATGACAATCTCATGGGGACCTGTGAGAAGAAAATGTTAGTGTAACAAAATCTTCAGTAGATCAGACAGTCTCTGTATGGCAGGAGATGCTTGATTGAAGTTCCTGACTGGAGTTCTAGTGTAGATTGAAGCTCTCGTCTGAAGCTCTGGCCAGATTGTAGAAGGTGTGCTATTTCAGTTCCATGGTCTGGAGTTGTGGCGAGTGATGTAGTTCCAAGCCAGTTTCAGGATGGTGCTTGTCAGGTGGAGTCGATGATGTGGGGCAGTTCAGATGCTTCCAGTTGAATCAGGTGGAGTCGATGAAGTGGAGTCCCATTCTCTTTCTGAAGCAGTTGAAGATTGCTGTCAGGAAATCCCTTGTTCTCTGGAAAACTCAAACATTAGTGTTAACAAAGACATTTTTTAACTTTTATATGTATGCATACTGGAAAAGGTGACAATAGGGAAGATGGTAAACATGAAGGAAATTAGACTTTTCAGAAAAAGAAATCCACAGATAACAGTCCCTAATTTCATTTATTGATACAAATTCAAGGTCAATTTTGTGATATGTACATTTCTCCTCTTGTTTAAGTACTGTGTTTATACTGATTTTTTTTTTTTTTTTGGTTTTTACAAGACAGGGTTTCTCTGTATTGTTTTGGAGGCTATCGGTCCAGCCCAGCCTCGAACTCACAGAGTATACTGATCTTTGAAAACGTAATATGATGGGGGAAGTCTTGTGTATATGTCAATAAAGTACTGTTGGCCAATAGGGAAGCAAGATAGGTGGGACTAGGAGTTCAGGAGGACTCTGGGTAGGAAAAACACAGGAAGTCAAGATGTAACTGCCATAGGGATAAGAAGCCCGGAAACTTCTCTGGTAAGAGAAATACTTAGATTAACAATTATGGGATAAATACTTAAGTCAGAGCTAGGCAGTAAGCAAGGCCAACAGCTTCATAATTAATACAGTGTCTCTTGTGTGGGGACTACAACACAGCAGAGCCCAGGTGACTGGAGGGGAAAAATCAAAGCAGCTGGCAAGGAAAATACATCTCTCTCTACAGTAATACATAATTAAGTACAGATTATAGATAGTTACTTCTAATAGTCAGAACTTATAGTTAGGTAAGTTAGGTTTTCTAGATATATAGAGATGTAGTTGAGATAGTCTTCAAACCTTTCAAAGACCTTCAGAACATGGCATTTAAAATGGTTTAGGGTTTTTCTTGACAATGAGAAATGTCTGCTCCTGGCAGCATCAATTACAGCTGAGAGGAAGATGGGCATTGAAGAAACTTGTTACAGAGTTTGCTTTCAACATGGCAAGTTAGTCATTTGGGCAAGAAACTGCTCTTGCCTAGACTGCTTGACTGTTGCTGTATAATCTGGATATGCAGGGCCCACAGGAAAGTTACTGCTGAACTCAAACAGTCCTTCAGGGTTCCTGCTTCATAGAAGAGTCTGCCAGACTTTCTGCAGGACACAGAAAATGACTGACGGACTGCCAATGCAGATGGACAGCTTGAAATTTCCTGCTTTTCTGAGAAGTCTTCCAGACACACTGTAGCTTATGGGCTGAAGATGGATGCCCCAACGTTACAGAGGAACTTCAGGTGACTGTCCAGGTAACAAGATGTCTCTGTCAGTTCTAGTGTTTATATATTATCCTTCTGTGGTCTTTGATGGAGTTGAAGGCAGATAGTAATAATCATAGTTTTCCTTAGTTATGATAAAAGATAAGTTACATATAAGCCTTTAGACTCACAAAGATAGGATAGATGATACTTTGTTTAAATCTTACTAAATGTTAATGGACAAAATATTGTTCTTACTTGGTAACTGTTCTGTTACGTATAATTTGACTATGTTAAAGTTAAAACCTTTCTTTTTGTTTAGACAGAAAAGAGGAGATGATGGGAAAGTCCTGTGTATATGTCAATAAAGCACTGTTGGCCAACAGGGAAACAAGATAGGTGGGACTAGGAGTTGATGAGGATTCTGGGAAAGAGAGACACGGCAGAGACAATGTAGCCAGCCAGAGAAGTAAGATGTCCGGACCCTTTTCTCTGGTAAGAGAAATACTTAGATTAACAATTATGGTTTAGCCAGTAAGAAACAAGCAAATGGCCAACAGCTTCATAATTAATATAGCCTCCTGTGTGTTATTTGGGACTGCAACTGTGGCAGAGCCCAAGCAGCTGGTGGGGAAAAACCAAAGCTGCTGCTGGAGGAAAACTACACGTTACAAGAGATTAATTGACTCCAACCCTCTGGTGTCACCCTTTTCATACTTGCCCAATAATTCAGCAATTCCCTGACATAAGGGGAGTGAATACTGTAAGAAACAATGGTTTGATCCCCTTAAGGTCCTTCATCTGTATTGGTTCCCACTGATAGGCAACAGAACCATTAGGATGCCTCCTAGATGCTGGTTTTTCAGTCATAGCTAGTGGGAAGGCCATAGGTGATGACATAACAACCTTAGGGAGATCTTCCCAACATCTGAGAAGTGTAGGTACACCTGTCATGAGCTGTTGCTAGTACATCTGAATCTGATGTATCAGATTGTAAGTCATCTAAGACCTGCAGCCTACTGATCATCGTTTCTCTGAGTGCTTGGATTTCCTGGTTAAAATTCTTCTAAGGCCTTCATAATGTCTGTCTGTTTCTTGGATACATCACTTACATGTGATTCCAAGCATTTAATATTCTCATCCTTATATATTATTTGAATGGCATGTAAATGGACTTGAAGAACAGTGTTCTAGCTGCTAAGTGGTCACTATCCTCAGACACGGAATGAATTGTTTCAGTAAGTTTAACAATCTGGTGTTTCAGCTTTTGAGTTTTATTAGTCAAGTCATCAGACATGGAATAAATTGTTCTGCCAGCCTGATAATGTTTTGCTGAATTGATTATGTTTTGGCCATAAGGGCAGTGCGCATGGAATAAATTCTGTCTTGTAAGTTGTTATGTTTAAGTTTCCAAGGTATCTACTTTGTTAGACATTTCCCCATTGACCTCAAGATTTTGAACTTTTCTCTGACTCACCAATAGTTTGCACAGCTTCCCTGCTTTCTGCCCTATGATCAAGCCCTCTCTCCCAGGGTATTATGTGGATTATGAAGCTAATTGTTAGCATTAGACATAAATATATTTGGGGCATTTTCTAATCCTTTCCCGTAATGTCATTCATGTAATAAGCAATGAGACTCTAACATTCTACATTGTAAGGTTACCTGGCATGGTATAGAATAGGTAATCTTATCACGAGCTTAAACTACCAGAATGCAAAATTTACCTCTAATGATCTCGGGTTGAGAGAAGTATGTTTACCTGCAATAACTATGCTTGGTCAGCAGGTGGCACAGGTGTGCCACCAAACACAGCTTGGCTGTGGGTGTTCTGTATTTCCTAGTGGAATCTGAAAAAATCCTAAGTAGCTTTTACAAAAATTTAGCGAGGAGGATTTTGTTAAAAGGAAGGGAAAGAGCCCGTGCCAATTGCGGGACCCTGCAGGTATGGAATGCTGTGGAACCTTACAGGCGGGAAGGAAAGTGAATGATACTCGGCTTTTGGGATGCTCATTTCAGCAACCACTGGTAGAGGCTCGGCTTGCTACCAGGGAAAACCTTGGTGTTTTAGCCGCTGTTCAGGGTACCCATTCGGAAAGCTCTCTGGGGACCAGGGCTCTCTGGACTGGCGAGGCGGGAGTGTTGGTTCTGGGTGGGTGGGAGGGCTGCGGAGATGTGTGGTCTCTGGGAATGCCGGAGGTCTTTGGCACTGCCAGATGAACAAAAAGGAGTTCAGCAGAAGAAAACCCACACCGAACAGGAGAACAGGACTGAGTTGGGAAACCCTGGTGACTTAGGTGGGCCAGGGAGGGAGGCAGAGGACCCAGAGGCTCGGTAAACTTACTTGCTGACATCAGATAATGCGGAAATATTAAACTACACAAAATTTGGATGTCCTATGGTATTTTATTGAGGTAGAAACCTTTTAGAAGCCAAGAAAGCTGAGAAGCAAAGGTCCGCACGCTGCTCTCCAGGCTGAAACCGGAACCCAAAGACAGAGTGTCTCCTCCCCCTAGATCTTTTATCCCCTGTTCATTCTACATACCCGTGGACACACCCACATGGGCGTGGTCAGTACGTAAGATCTCTCCCTGCAGAGGTGGGAGGAGATTATGTTTTTAAATATTTTCTTCCCCTTGGATGAGGATTAAGTAGCAATTTTTCAAGGATTATTAGCACATAACTACCACGAGAAAGATAGTAGTAGAGTTGATCTGTAGATTTCCCACTGTAAAATACTTGTTGCTAACATCTTTATGTATTTTCCCTTAGACTTTGTGGTTCATATCTAATATTCAAGTCATATGATATAAAAGACAGGCACATGTATTTTAATGGGTTTAAAAACACAATACCTCAAGCACTTTCTACATTATTTTACATGTTCTTTAAACATCATTTTCAATGTCTACAATGTTAAGTTCACTTTTCTTTGAAATTTGAGTGATTCCTTTGTTTGTTTGGAGACAGAATCTCTCTATGTAGCCCCTGGGTGACCTGGTTCATGTAGACCAGGCTAGCCTTGAATTCTCAGAGGCCCACCTGCCTCTGCTTTTGAGTGCTGGGATTAAAAGTGGGCATCACCATCCCTGGGCTAAATTCTTGATCGCTTGAAATGTGGCTTAACATCTTTGTGGATGATCTCATTTCCAAATCACGAGTCCTGTCGTGAACCTCAAGCTTAGGGCTCTACTTCTGGGTCACCTCTCTCTCTGCGGATATGATGACTCAGGTGTCTTTGTGTCTAAGGTGTGTTTCTCTTTGTCTTTTTGTTCTTCCTTCCTTTCTCCTCCCCTCTCTGCCCCACTTTCCCCTTCCTTCTTTGTTCCTTTTTGTTCAGGCAGGGGCTCACTATGGCTCCTGACTGGCCTGGAAACTGCGCTATAGATCAGGCTGCCTCAGACCCCGAATTATCCCTCTGCCTCTGCCCCTCGAGTGTTGGGATTATAGGCTCAGGACTTCACACCCAGCCCAAGGCGGGTTTCTTTGGACAGCATATATGAAAATCTCTGCCTTTCAGTTAAGAGCGTAGAGTACACTGTTATGCTGTGGTGTTTTGTGTGTGTGTGTGTGTGTGTGTGTGTGTGTGTGTGTGTGTGTGTGCTTCCTTTGAGACATATTTCAGATAATTCTGAAACAGAAATTTCGGTCTGTTTGGTCCTGTAGGAGTGGGTTCTCTGCTTCTACCACTAGGGTCTTTGAAGTTGAAGTCAGGCAACCAGTCTTGGGCTTTTACCTCTTCATACAGCTCTCTAGACTTCGTTTGGTGTTTGATTTGCAATGTAAACCTGAGGATGACCTTGAGGCTACCCCCTAAGAGCTGGCATTACAAGCCTGTGCCACCATGCCCTGTTCATGTGGTGTTGGGACTTGAACTCAGAACTTTGTGCATGCTAGGAAAGCACTCTGCCAACTGAGCCACACCCTGAGCCCTGGATTTTTTTTTATGATGCTGTTTTATCTCCACTCTGGTTTATTAAGCCTCTTCTTTTCTATTTTTATGCAAATGCCTTAGAATTTAAAGTATCCACGCTTATCACTCTACTTACTAGTTTTTGAGATGGTCTCATCTATCCCAGGCTGGCCTTGAACTCCTGATGTTCCTGTTTTCATCTTCTAACCACTGGGACTGCAGGCATCTGCCATCATGCCCAGTTTTGATTTCTTCCTTTTAAGTAATCATCTCCAAATAATATATTCTACTTCAAAAACATGTGGGCCGGGCATTGGTGGTGCACGCCTTTAATCCCAGCACTCGGGAGGCAGAGGCAGGCGGATCTCTGTGAGTTCCAGGCCAGCCTCCAAAAGAATACAGAGAAACCCTTTATCGGAAAACCAAGAAAACAAACAACAAACAAAAAAATGTGAAAACTTACAATGGCATGCTTTTTCTACACCCTCTGTAGGAGCTGTGTCTTTTTTTCAAGTTAATAAGGATGTAATTCATAGGAGATTATTCTGTGCAAAGAACTATTAAAATGTCTCACATAAAGTCCCCTTGACCGTCCCGTGAGACTAGTTTGGCAAACACCCTTCTGAACCTCTGCTGTGTGTTTACATGAATTTGTGTGAGTAGATGCCTAAAGTATGTGTAGTTTATTTCCTTACATAGAAGATAGTGTGGTGTGTGTCATCTTACAGTGTGTGTCTTGTTCCGCAATGGGTCCTGTTGGTCTACCCCGATTAATACAAACCGGCTTCATCATCTTGAACGTGTTTATGGTATGCCATTAAGTGGACGTCCCAGTGTTTCTGTTAAATTGAGGGGTGTTCGTGTCTTATTCTCCATCCATAGTCTACGGCCCTGTTAGTAAGGGGTCTCTCCATATGTGTTATTGTAGACATTTGCAGGTACCTGCCCAGAGTGTACGCTTGGAGGGGAATTAACTTCTATAACCAACCCTCCATGGGAAGAGCAGAGACAGAGCGAAGCCTCCAAGACCCCGAGTTAAAGTGTAGTTAGTAAGCGGTGGCTCGGGTGAGGTTGAAGGAATGTTAGAGACTTCAAAGCCTTGGGAAGTGTCTGGAGACTCTTATAAGCTATTTGGAGTCAGGGACTTGTGGGGACCATGTGTGGGTTGCTGTTTTCATGCCTTGGGAACGAAGAGGACACATTTACCTGGCCAGGGTCACATGGTGGTAAAAGGGCTTCTCCTTACCCCCTTGTGGGGAGAGTGGCAACCTGGCGGCACTGTGAAAGTCACCGCCGTCTGCGGGCCTGCGGGTGACACACAGTCACCGTTCACAAAGAAGCAAGACCTCCAGAGGGTGAGCCTCACTCAAGGTCTCAACTCTAGCCCTAAACACGGCTGTATTTTACCCTTGCTTTAGGAGGCCAAACAGCAGGGGACAGCTTAGTTCAGCTAAGGAAGCTGTAGCGGGGATGGGTTGGGGGGGGTGGGAGGAGAGGGGGATGGACCACATGGCTCCTGCCTCCATCCCCCCCCCCTTGCAGCCCACTCTCTTCCTCTCTCCAGATTCCTGTGGACTCTTCTTCCTTCAACAGCATCAAAGAGAGTCCAAAAGGGAAAAGCAAACAGTCCAAATTACAGGACAGACGAGGAGACCCATTTCTATGTAAACGTTACCAGCCTGCAGAGAAACAAACACTGCGGAAACACCGGAGGCTTTGGTTTGGATCTAAGATGTGCAGCATGGCCATGCTTATAAATAGTCTCTCAACCACCAAGTGCAGCCTCTTCTTCTCCGCGCCTGTAGAGGATGGGGCTGGGCACAACGCCCGCACGAGGCTGTCCAGAAAGCCATTCAGGTCCCGCCATCATCATCAATTTCAGGCAAGAAAACAAAATAGTCAGATGAAAGCAAAACATAACAACGATTGGAGATGGGTCAGCCACGCAAAAAGTTGGCGTTGGGAGGACTTCCTAGGGTCAGAAAGCGGCAGAGGTGACATTTGAAGTGGTGTCTCTGCAGGCACCTCCTCACCGCCAGGACAGGAGTCCTCGCAGCGGCCCCGTTTAGAGGCAGACACTATCAGACCGCAGCACGTCTGAGCTGTCCACCGAGGGTTTGGGAGCTGAAAATACTTCAGCCTAGAGGTGTTCCATTGTGCACTGAGTTCACAATCTCTCTGCATTGCAGTGTCTGAGACGCCACCTAAGAGGCAGGCCTTGAAGAACTCCACCCCAAGTCCCAGTGTGGAATCAGGGAGGATCCGGGGCTGCGAATACTCAGAGTCATTCAAACGGTTCCAAGATGATCAGACGCCCACCTGCCGATGTCTGTGTCTCCCACACCCCACTTGTCCGGTCACTTTGCAAGGACGGTGGCACTTCTTACTGAACACAAACACACTGACACTGCTTAGTGTGCTTAGGTTTTGTCTTTTGAATTTCAATGGAGGTCTGGAAAATGAGTGGCCCAGATCTTCGACTGGGTATGCTCCTGGCGAAGGATCTCCCAGGTGGGAACATTAACTGACAAGTGACCTAGACCAGAGGTTTCCATGGCTGTAAGTTTAGAAAACATTCTAATGGAAACTGTAGGCTTTTTTTTTTTTTAAAAAAGAGGGACACTACTGCCCATGGTGGCCAGAAGAGGGAGTCAGGTCCCTTGAAGTGAGTAACAGTTTGGGTGCTGGCACCAAACTCCAGCCCTCTGCCAGAGCGGCAGACACTGTCATTGCCGGCCCGTCTCTCCTCCCCCCACTTAAGAATCCTCAGACGTGATTTACAAGGAGGCAGGTCTTAAGGCCTTAGAGGTAGTGGTATAGTTCTTCATGTTTTCAGCATGTTGCTTCCCACCCAGGATCCCCACAAACCCTGTGGGAGAGGTTTCTCCCTAGACTGGAAAAAGGATGCTGTCGTCTTGAAACAGAGTCTCTGCATGCAGCCTTGACTGGTTTGAAGCTCGCTATGCAGACCAGGCTGACCTCAAAGTCACACACATCTACCTGCCTCCACCTCCTGATTGCTGGGATTAGAGGTGCACACCACCATTGATGTTAAAGGGGCTTTAAGGTAGACATAGCAAACCTTCCCTGAAATGAGGCGCTTTGTTTCCTGCTGTTTAACGGAGTACCTGGCCCTGGGAAATTCAGGAAGTAACGAGAGCATGGCATGAACATCTGCTCGCTTATGGTGAGGGCCAAGTGCTGTGTTAGACAGAACTGTCCAGCCAGTGGGATCACGGTGGAGGGCCTATGTGACAGGCTAGGCTTGCTTAACTCTTAGCAACCTACACCTTTAGTAATTAAATGGACCTTTAAGTGAGCATATTAATCCTTCCTACAGACCCACTCACCTCGGAAGGACCTGACCTTCCAATGCTGTCTTGCTGGAGACAAGTTTCCCAGTATTAATTTTGGGGGACACACAAGAGTACAGCAGCCACCAGTCAACCAAGGAGAGGAAAACTCTGAGTGGGTCACAGACGCAGCGCACAGGCGAATTAGGCTTTGGACTTGAAAGCAGCCTGGTACTGTAAGAAAGTCTATAAATCAAACTGCATTTTGGCCCTTAATTAGGGTTGTAACTTAACCAGTCAGTTGCTCGATCCTGGTCAGAGTGAGTGACCTCCAGTTGTCTGGATCTCTAAAATAAGGAGGACGTTGGGGAGGAGCGTGAGGTTCTGCGTCCGAGGAAGGCGTAGGAGACCCTCAGAGCTGCACATGTCCGCAGGAAGGTCTCAGTGAGCCGTTACTGTGAGGGAACTCTAGGCTGGGGGTTATTCCAAAGACACATAGCAGCATCTCAGATGACAGAAGACTCCCACATACAGAGTCCCCGGTCCAGCCAGTCTGTACACTACCCTAGGGCTGTGTTCTAAAGAGGAAAGTGGCTGGATGCGGTGAAGCGGACATATCCACCCCGAGCACCAGCAGGTGCCAGCACAGGCTAGGCTTTCAGAAGGGCGGTCTGCTCTGATTTTCACGTCCTTCCGTCCTTTTGTGTGACTCAGGAAAGCCCAGACTTCCTTTCCTTTCATCCTGAGAGTGATATCTGTCTCTTCCAGCTTTTTTTTTTCCCCTGTGACTCTAAGCCTGGGAAGAAAGGCTCATGGTTTTACTGTCTGGGAGACCTGGCCCCCGAAACTGTTATTAGTGACAACGTTTACACAGTGCTTCGTCTGATAACTGCTCACCCCTGGCAAAGCGGAGTGATGTGAGGGGCTGGACGCGGGAGACCGTAGGTCGCTTCCAGATTCCCACTTCCACTCACGCAGATCATCTTCGACAAGTGACGTACCAGCTCTCCATACCCCAGATCTAAGTTGCTGATACGATAGAGAGACAGAGTGAGCTGATGCTTTGGCAGTTAATACTGCGATTGCGTTTTCTCTTTCCCTTTGTGCTGAATCAAACCCAGAGGTTTCTGCCCGTGAGCCAAGCTCTCTAGCCACAGCCTTCACGCTGTCTTTCTATTGTTCCTTTTTCCTTAAGAGACTTCAGCTGATCCCGGAATAACTGGCCTAACCTAACAGGTCAAACCTCACTCTCCTCCTACCTGCCTTCCCGTCTGTCTCCCCTCACAGCTCTTGCCCGTCTTCACAGGCTCCTCGGCTGCTCTCCTGCACAAAGCCTGCACCCTGTCCCTTGACACTGTCTCAGGCCCCGAATCTGCTCTGTTTTGAATCCCACCACTCCCTAAGTCCTAGCAGTTCTCCGACATCTTTTCAGTTGGCCTCCTATTGCTCCCCCACAATCCTGGCTCGATGTCTTCACGCCTCCGTTGCAGTGGTTTTCGTGGACCAAGATGGCTTCCTTCCTTCTAGGCTTTCTCATCAGACTGAATGCTGCCTGCACGTTTGTGGGGACTGTGGAAGTGCTGGTCCGAGTGAATGCATGCGTGTTGTGAAATCTGTAAGCGCAAAAGCTAAAGTCACCAGAGGCAAAGCACTTCCATCATTAATCTCAGAGGCTGTGGAGAGCCCAGGCTCCCACGCCCACTCCCCACATTCTCTGGGAACTCCCCAAGCTGCCTTTGAGTAAGGCCACCAAACATGGCTGGGTGGTATTTTAGACAAAGCCGGACATAGAAAAGACAAAAGCCATTCGTATGAATGCACCAGACTTCATATTTACAGTCCAGCGGAGACTGCCGGTGGCATCAAGCAGCCAGTGCCCAAAGGCCTGCTTTGAGTGTATCAGCAAAGACGAAATTACAGTAAGACTGCCTTTGATGTCCCGTCTGCTTCGCCTTCCCAAATAAAAGGGAAACTCTGGCTCCAGGCTGATTTTTCAATGGCAAAAATAGACTGAATTCCAACCCTTAAATTACCAAGAGTGCCACATACTTGACAGGCAGCTAAGCAGAGAGCAGAAACCACCAAGTTAGTAATTAAATGAGCTTAAGTCAAATTAACAGAGACAGACATTCTTGTCTGGCGGTCACAGTCACAGCAGAGCCCAGGATCTAGCTCTGGTGCCTGTGTGAATCAGACTCAAATCCTGATATGTGACAATGACCATCCTATCCGTCTACCCCCATCTGTCCTCTTGGAAAGGCTCCAAGGGGTGGGGAGGGTCGCCCCGTCAAAGATGGGGAGGAAGGGAGGTCTGCAAGGATGAGGCATGGGGCCTGGATCCTCTCCTCTTTGGAATCTGTTTCTAGATTCTGTAAGGGACTCGGAAGATTTCCCTTAATATAGACTTAGGACATAAATTATTATGCAGCCACCCTCAGATACTGAATGCCCACAGTCATGGTCAAAGCAAAGTCCTCAGAGAGCCACATGCTGGTGGCGGAAGGCAAACACAAAAAGTTAATAAACACACGGTCCTCGGGGGAATGGTGCCACGGGCACCGCTTCTGGAAGCAGGGAGATGGAGCAGTTAGGGGGCTGTGGAGGAGGAGGAGAAGTTGGAGACGCTGTGTGTGTTTCTTTCTGCACACTTGGGTGCACACACACTTGAGTGCACACACATGTGTACACACTTGTGTGCACATGCACGTGTGCACACTCTTGAGTGCACACACACACGTGTGTATACATGCATGTGGACATGCAAGAGAACATCAGTGATGGACACTTTCTTCAGTCCCTCTCCACTGAACCGGAAGCTCACTGCTTCGACTAGACTGACTGACCAGCAAGCGCAGGGACCCTTCTCTGATCCACCTCCTCAGTGACGTTCACAGGCAGCCGCAGCCACACCCTGGCTTTTGATGTAAATGTGAGCTCTGGAAGACTGAACTCGGGTCCTCACGGTTGCGTGGCAAATCCTTCCCTGACTGATCCATCTCCTGGGGATCGGGCATCACTGTGTATTTTGGGCACTAAAGGGAGGCTTTCCCTGACACGGAGATAACTGAACGGAAACCTGAATGGGGAAGAGCATTTCAGCAAGGGCAAAGACCTGGGAAAACGCTTCGCGCACGTCTACGGGAAAGTGCGGGGTCCAGAGGCGGCAGGCAGATAGATCAGGGCAAGCAGGGAGTGCGGCAGGGTAGGTAGGTAGTGAAGCTGAGAAGAGACGGGGCCTCGGTCATCAAACATTCTCAGGACGCCGGTGCGTTAGCTCCGTTAAAACTGAAGCCCTGAGTGCGGTTTCCTGGGGTTTGATCAGCCACCTGGGACCATGTGGGTGTCCAAGGGCCATGCCGCAGCCAGAGCCATACGGATCTGCGTGGCCGGTGCTGCTACCCGATGCTATAGAGACCCGTGGCCGGTGCTGCTACCCGATGCTATAGAGACCCGTGGCCGGTGCTGCTACCCGATGCTATAGAG